CATCATCATCATCATCATCATCATCATCATCATCATCATCATCTTCTTCTTCTTCTTCTTCATCATCATCTTCCTCTTCTTCATCATCATCTTTTTTCTTCTTTTTTCTTGTTCGTCTTTCTCATTTTACCTTCGCCCCTTTCTTCTTCTTTTTCTTCTTCCTCCTCCACTTCATCATGTTTCTAGCTTCATAAATTAAAAAAAAAATCCCATAAAATACAAGACCAACGAAAATCTCCGCAGTATGTACACAATTGACACCCCCGCTGACACCGCGTTCGTTTATTTAATTATTCTCTACCATGCTCTCAACTGCTACAGACAACTCGTGTTACACGGACGCTGCAACATCGCGTCAAATAGTGCTCCCGCCGCGGATGACGTCATCGATTTTCCTCGGCCAATCAGCGCTGTTTTGAGAAATTGAATTAATTTATGGCGGCGCGCGCGGCATCGCGGCGGTTTTCGTCTGCGCGACGTGACGTGTATGAGACATCATGTCCGGCTGAGGGCCAGCAGCTTCATCGAGTGTTTACCTACACGTGTTCGCGGGCAGGCGCGCTATTCCGTAGCTCTGTTTGTACAAGTACGCTCAGGGCGAGCGCACGCTAAAGCGCTGAGCCAATAAACGTCCGATATTATTAGAATTTGTTGATTTTTTTTCCATAAACGCAAAAATTCACATGATAAAATTGTTACTTAATTATTGCGTAATCTGCTCTCGCATCGGGAAAGCATATTCCGTTGGGTTGGCGGCGGATGGCAAAAATACAAGGTTTGTTCGAGTGTACGCACCCGAGGCTAACTCATACATGCAAGCGGATTCTGAAAAATGGACGAGGAAGATGAAAATGAAATGTAGATACAATACAACTGCTACTACCAGCTGCGTAGCTTCTTGTAGCCCCGTCAGCATTTTACCGTGGCATCATTCGCCTCACTGCATCAGATGTTTGTGGCAAGTTCATCAATTTTTTCCCCTTTTCATCGTAGATAATAAACTACACTGACGTACATGGCGGCGAAAAAAAAGCAAACAAGGAAGCGCTGAACACTCTCCCCCATCGATTGCACGCTGCGATACGTAGTTACGCGTTGTAGCAACGCAGCAATGTTCTAATTATTTTATAACTTCTGTAAACGGTGGAGCATATGGTAGGCGGCTCGATTCTGCGCGCGAGTGTAGGAGTTGTGTGTACGCGGTTGCACTTAACCAAACCAATCAACACGCAGCTGCAGTTCTCGCCAGAGACGCACACGAGCCGTGGGCTTAGTACATCCACGCGTGCACGCTGGTACACGCGCGCACGAACGCACGCACACACGCACGAATACCGGCACGACTACAAGTGCGCGTAATAGGTCCATGCATGAATCACGCTCGCGCGCTCGCACGCACGCACGCACGCACGCATGTGGGTTCATGCACGCACGCACGCAAATACGCGCTCACACACGCTCGTACGCACACGTCCACGCATGCTGGTGCTTGCACGCACGCACGCACGCACGCACGCAAGTACACAAGCAGCAAGCAGGCGCATGCAATCGCAGGCGTGCGTGCATGTAACTGAGCACAATCACCTATACTTAGCGATCACGATAGCTGGTAATTGCAGTGAATAAAGTAAGTATCATACAAGGCCGAGTATCTTGGTAGAAAGACACTCTATAGCGCATAGGTGCGAAGGAAGCCAGATCGTAGGCCCTACTATGTGATAGAGAGAAAATGTAGAGAATCGATATATATATCGTCACATTAGGAGTGAATACAATTATGTTTTTATTCACACCTGATCACATTAATTCGTTTTTCAAACATGTTTGCCGTGAGATTTAAAGCTAGTTCTAGAGGTGCTTAAAAATTTCTTTGATATTTCGAAGTAATTCTGAGACCGAGAAAGATAGCGAATGCGGGTCTTAACCGCTGGTGTCCGCTTTATTGCAGTTTAACCTATTGTATAAAACCGGAAGAACTAGTTTTAATAACAATTCAGAATAAACGCAAATAACAACTAATAATAATAAGCATTTATCGTTTTACTAATTATTTACGCTTGTGCTTCACAGCGATAGCGTACATGAATGAATCTTCTTTCGCTTGCAATTACATCGAATGCAATATTACGTCATTGCTCATAACCAGTGACATCACACAATCTGCTAATAGCTGCAAGTAATCAGAGAAGCATTTCGTAGAAGTGTCGACAGGCGTTGACAGTGCAGTTCACCTGATACCTGTTACGACACGCGTAATCAACGTGGGCGGCAATACAAGCAATTTCAGATGCAGCGCGTAATTTTAGCGAGCCGGCAAAACGCCTCGGTAATAAAACGCCAGGGGAATTAATTCTATAGAAATTCTTTTTACCATACACTGATAACGACCCGTGATGTCTGTCTAGGAATCGCTTACATCATACCTGTAATTGACTGTCACTAAAAGAAAGTAGCTGTCATACGTTTCCGCCTATGATACCAATGTTTTCTGTCATAATGCTTACAATTAACATCTAACTCTGACGAAATATTTGCGCAAACACAGTAAGAGCAGTAAAGGAGACGGCAGCCTCTGATTTATGATCCAGCAAATTTATGATCTGCATGTTAAATACTGTAATCCCTGTCAGAGACAGATGTGCATCATATGCGTGGCTGAGTTTTGTCTCTATATTAACGTGAATTTTTTCATATTGCCGTTTAGTGAAAGACGGCTAAGCAAACTTTGTATTTTTTTTTCGAAACTGATTTATTCTCCATTTATTGTGAACGGTTAGCCACTAGAATTTATGTCGTTCTAGAGGAAGACGCACAGATAGTGTTAGTAAAATCTAACATTGCCAACTATGGAGTTTTCAACGTTACTTCAGAGCGGTGGATCATACTGTAAGAGAGAGAGAAGGGGGGAGAAAGAAATAAAGACAGGGTGTGTTTGTGTGTGAGAAAGAGAGATAAAGTGTGTGTGTGAGAGAGAAAGAAAGAAAGAGGAAGCTCGATAGAAAGATAGAGATAGAAAGAGAGAGAGAGAGGAGGAGAGAAAGACTTCACGACGCGAGAGAGAGAGAGAGAGAGAGAAAAGAGAGACGAGAGGAGAGGAGAGAGAAGAGAGAGAGGAATTCCACTTGCTCTGATGAGAAGAGAGATGAGAGCAGAGAGAGAGAGAGAGAGAGAGAGAGAGCGAGCGAGCGAGAGTTGTAAATTGCAATTTGCATCAGAGAGAA